GTGCCAGCGTCAAACCTGGGCATATGTTTACGATTTGCACGCACTGTGCCACACACATCTGTCATGTTCACTCGCAAAAAAATCACTGAGTGAGGGGCCTGTGTACCAGTTGTCAGTATATAATATATGCCCCTTACCAAGGTATGGTTCTATCATTGTTCTAACCACATCACCAGAGATGTCCAATAACTTCCTGGTATTTTGCAATGTATAACTTCCAGTGTACACAATAATATCCAATACCAGACCACTGTAACAATCACAAAGCACAAACAACTTTATACCAAAGTGTTTCCTCTTGCTTGGTATGTACTGCTTGAAAGAGAGTCTTCCTTTGAACAGAATCAAAGACTCGTCAATTACAAGCTTCCTGAAGGGATAAAAATACATAATGAATTTCTCTTTCAGATACACAAACACATTCCTAATCTTACATAACCTGTCGTTTCTGTCAGGTCTGGTTTTGTCTGAGAAGTGAAGGATATGTAATAGTAGCACATATCGATTCACTCCCATTATATCACTGAAACCTGGGGTTGCAATCAAGCAGTCTGTTGACCAGTATGATTTCACACTGTGCTTATACACATGTGACATAAGCATTATTGTGGCAAAGAAAAGACACATCTCAGCCACAGCTTCTCCTTCCACTTGTGTAGCCGTGAGCTTGGTAAAAGTATTGTTTGCCATGGTGTACTCATAGTATCTGTTGCTTTCACTGACAATAATTTCCATCAGGGGTTCGTCAAAGAATAACTCAAAACATTCCAGTTCAGTGGCATTGTTCCCCAGTGTACAACATGGCCGTATTCCACTTTGGCTTTCATCAAACTGGTGGGGATTTGGAACAAAATTGACTGCTTCTTGCCAATCCCAGGTGCAGTCTGCTGGTGGGTACTGGACATTGACAGGTGGTTGTGGTTGTGGTGGTTGTGGTTGTGGAGGTTGTGGTTGTGGAGGCTGGTGTGGTGGGTGGGTGGGGGATGGTGGCCTTTGTTGTAGATCAGCTGAGGCAGCAGCGTGGGTGGCAGCATGGGTGGCAGCATGGCCCACTGCTGGTGCCTCACAGCTGGCACCACCACTACCACCACCATGCACATTTTCCATCCCAATTGCAACACTATCATCGTCATTTTCACTGTCTGTTCCTGTTGTACAGCCACGGGATGTACTCCGAGATGTACTCCTTCCCCTTGGAATAGCATATGGCACACTACCAGAGCGCATATACATGTATCGTCGTATATACTGATGCTTCACTGGAGAATATTTCACTTCACTATCGCTACTGGAAGTGTTTTCTAGAGCTTGTAGTTCATATTCACTATCACTATCATCATTAATGCCCACACCTGAGTCCGGGATTTGAGAAAATAGGAGTTTCCTCTTTGATTCTGGTACAACTGAACGTGAACAAGACGGCCTAGCAGCAGAGGTGGAAGGCTGAGGGTCGCCTGGGTTTTCCTCACTATTGCTGATATTATGGTCATTAGTTTCGGTCAAAACTTCACCAAAACCTTAACCTTGAAACTCATCTTCACTGGCACTTCCATCTGTATTAGAACTGTCACTGGGGAACAAAAGTGTCTCAATTCGCCGAGGAGTGAAGAGCTTCTTACTGCGAGGCATGGTGAACAAGGTCTACTAAAATGGAGTTCCCACAAGGTGCCACTGGGTCCCAGATTTTTCTTCTACCGCGCACACCGACAACACACACCCATTCTCTCACATCTAGGCCTACCAGCCTTTTCCCACGAGATTTGAAGGCGCTAGAATTTATGCGTACTAGTACGTCAAAAACCCTGGCACGTAAGCCATACTAGTACGGCTGAAACCCTGAAAGGGTTAATTTTCCCCATAAAAAATAATTTTTTTTACATGAAATATACATTTCCCTACAAAGAAAACAATGAGACATGCACAATAAATACATAAATAAACAATAAAATGACACTTACCTTCACTGAAGAGTACTGATGAGTGATGAGACACTGTTTTTCTTGAACACTATGGGATTTTCAGAGTGATACATGAGTAAAGGCTTCATTTTGCAATCCCCACTAGCATTACAAGAAAACACAAGAGTTAGCCTGTCTTTCATAGACTTGTGTCCTGGGAGAGCCTTTTCCTCCTGAGTAATGTAGGCCCTGTTTGGCATTTTCTCCTAGAACAGGCCTGTTTCATCACAATTGAACACTTGTTGGGGTTGGAATTTTTCAGCTTCGCCATGCCTTATCACACTGTGTATGCCACTACGATTCTTAAATCTCTCAAACCAATGTTTGCTGGCCTTAAATTCAGCAATATGAGCACTAGCTCCAGGCATTTTTTCCTGTTCACCTGGGTGTTAGTCGACTAGTGTGGGTCGCATCCTGGGGGACAAGATTAAGGACCCCAATGGAAATAAGTTAGACAGTCCTCGATGATGCACTGACTTTCTTGGGTTATCCTGGGTGGCTAACCCTCTGGGGGTTAATTGTTTCTCGGTAATTATTTCTCGTTAAGCCACACCAACAACACTCTCTCTACATCTTTGAGTAGTACAGCTGACAGTGGTGAAGCAGCATCTGATGGTGGTGCAGCAGTAGCTGATGGTGGTGCAGCAGCAGCTGACAGTGGTGCAGCAGCAGCTGATGGTGGTGCAGCAGCAGCTGATGGTGGTGCAGCAGCAGCTGACAGTGGTGCAGCAGCAGCTGACGGTGGTGCAGCAGCTGATGGTGGTGCAGCAACAGCAGCAGCTGATGGTGGTACAACAGCAGCTGATGGTGTCACAGCAGCAGCTGACGGTGGTGCAGCAGCAGCTGATGGTGGTGCAGCAACAGCAGCAACTGACGGTGGTGCAGCAACAGCAGCAGCTGACAGTGGTACAGCAGCAGCTGACGGTGGTACAGCAGTAGCTGATGGTGGTACAGCAGCAGCTGATGGTGGTGCAGCAACAGCAGCAGCTGATGGTGGTGCAGCAACAGCAGCAGCTGATGGTGGTGCAGCAACAGCAGCAGCTGATGGTGGTGCAGCAACAGCTGACCGTGGTACTATAGTATTTTGATAGTATTTCTCACCCTTTTTACCACAGGGTTGGCCCTAGAAGCTTTCTTTGGGCCCATGGTGGCTTATTTAGCAGTTACAAGCACTAAAAACAATGGAATAATACAAAATATATCGCATGTATGCGTGAAACCGTCCGCCCTGGCTTGTAAACAATGGCACACTAGCTGAAGGCAGGGCAGCTGAGGCGCTCAGACTGGACGGACAGGCGGATGTGTTTGGGACGAATGTCCTTACCCGAGTTTTTCATCGTTCGTCAAGCCAATATTTTTACGCAAAAATGCATCGTTGCCAGATTTTATCATTAGTCAATGCCATTGCTGTTCGAGAGTCCACTGTAATTTGTTGTATGTGTCATTTTCTAATAATTTCTTACCTGCTACATTTGATCTTTTATATTAATGTAATATTATTATAAAGATAACAAAAGGACACCAATGGAAGTAAGTCACTCTGTCCGACTTTTTTGGGTTATCCCAGGTTCTCTACACATATGCTGGTATGTATAATAATCTTTGTAACTGTATTTGTGTATACCTGAATAAACTTACTTACTGCCTATGATGCTGGGCGGATGTTGTGGTGTTCGCTGCGCCAACTATGGCAGCGTATCTGAAGCTCACTTGTAACCGGATTTTGGCTCGCAACTCAGAGCAAAAAATCAACTGAGCGAAGGCTTGTAACTCATAAAACTCATAAGTTGGAGTACTCGTAAGTCTAGGTACCACTGTATCTTGGAAAGTACTGATCAGAACTTTTTTTGTTTTATTACCTATACAAAACTATTATCTTTAATTCTGTAAAAAAATTTTTTTTTTTTTTTTCAAAAATTCTTGGACCCTGGCTGTCACTCTGAAAGGGTTAAGAATCAGGGCTGTCGACAGTGAAAGGGTTAATCACTAAGCCCACAAGGGTCATACGGCACTATTTTCATGCCTATGTTTAACCCTTTGAGGGTCCAAACCCCTAATCTGAAAACTCCTCATAGGGTCCAGAATTAAAAAAAAAAAAAAAAAAAAAAAAAAAAAAAAAAAAAAAAAAATCTCATGAAATGGTACAAAATTTGATAAAAAAAAAAACTGACAAAGTTATACTCTAGTGAATTTTGCTGTGTTGGCAATATTTATGGATTGGTGATACTGCACCCTGTAAGTTCTATTTTTGGCCAATTACACTGTTCCATTTTATCTATTGAGCACAAGAAATTGCCAAATCAACTATTTCAACTACCCAATAAAGTGATCAAAAATTGGTAATTTTGTCAATTTCACACAAAGTTCAAAATATTCTAATTTCAAAATAGGGTCCGGAATAAACAATGCAAGCATTCCTGGCACTAAAATAACATTTTCTCTGTTTATTAGTAATATTTCCAGCTTTACAGATGAATTCCATTTTTATTTTTTGTTCACATAAAGAACTTTTATTCACACCAAAATATAGAATATTTACTGTTATACAATACTGTAATAATTGTATAAATAATGTCAGCTCATTCGTGAACACACATCAGACCCAGCAGCTGATGTATATTGGATGCGTGATGTGAGCTGTTTACTCTTGAACATCAGCAAAAAGTGAACCTTTCTGCTACTTCGAGCTCAATTTGAAGCTATTTTCAGTACTAAAACCAATCAAAATCATCTATATTTCTGCAACACATCCTCCATTCTATCAAATGAGACCAAGAAACCACTGCAAATACAACCATAAAAACCATAAGAAAATACACTGCAAAGTTGCTGTTTTAATCCAAAAACGGTTGCAATTTTTTTTCATCATGCACTGTGTGCTGCAAGATGCATTCTCTCATATCTAGGCCCAAATTTACCACTCACAGCTTATCTGAGTGAGCTGAGCTCACTCAGATGTCCCATAGTTCAGGCTTCAAAGCCATAGAACTATGGGACAGACCCACGAGGGGTTAAATATGTGAGCGGAAGTGAGCACTTTACCTGCAAGGTCTTGAGAAGCTGAGAGTTCTGAGACTTGAAGTGTTGGAGCCAGATAACAGCATCCAGAGGATGGTCGTACCGGCAGGCACAGTAGCTGAGGCAGTTATCTCCTTAAAACCTCTTCTCCAGCGAGGTGCTGAAAATCATTACTACAATTAGGAACATTACCTTAATTCTCTCACTCTCCAGACCTCAGATATTTATAATGCTCTCAGTATCCACTTTTTTTTTTTTAAATGATAAAGAATCATGACACTAAAAGTATGAAATTTGATGAAAAACTTACATAATTACACATGCATAAAGTTAGTGGTCTGGGCAAACTTTATGCAATGGCAATTTTGACCACTTTTAGTCCTACATTACTCCATTCACCAAATGCCTTCACTCAGTGAGTACAAGAAACTGCCCATTCAACTATTATAGTGCACACAAGTCAGTAATTTGACCAATTTTACACAAAAAAATCCAAATTAAAAAATACAGTCCAAAATAAACAATGTAGATATTCCAGGTAGTAAAATGACATTTCCTCTATTCTCCAATCATGTCCCTAGGCCTCTTCTATATTACAATTGCCTTCCATTTTCAATTCATAATCACACAAAAAAATTGAAGATTTTACCCCTTTTTCTCTGATAATGACACATAACCAGGATGATTGGTCATGGTCTACAGCATCACAATAATTGAATAAGACCTATCCAAAACCATAAAATAGACCAGGGGATGTAGGAGGGGCCTTACCCATCCTCAGGAAAATAGCCTAAAATTTAATATTTCCACTACTTTGAGCTCATTCAAAGCTGCTCTAACTCACTACTCACTCACTCACACTCTCACTCTTTCACACACACACTCATCCACCCACCCACCCACACACACACATACAAGCATGCACACACACACACACATACATGCCTGTGGATGTAAGATCATGCCCCCACCAGGTATTGCATTGAATGCATCACAACAACATTAATAATAATTTAGGATAAAAAAAATAATGTTAAAGCTTATACAGTAGGGCCCCACTTATCCGGCAGGTTAGGTTCCAGGCTACTGCCGGAAAGCAGACATCGCCAGAAAGCAGAATGCCATTTTTTTCCACTTATAAATGCATATAAACACCAGATAACAAGCTTACACTAACAAATATTACATTAGCAATAGAACTAGGCATTAAAGGCAATAAGAAGTAAAATACACACAGAGTACACCAATTACTTACCTTAAAAGATTTGTAGTCTTACTGTAGGGTGTTAGGTGAGTTTTATTTGTAGGAAGTCAGGTTTGGGATGTATGGTAGCCAGCCAAGTGAGCCCACCCCCCCATACGTAATATACTACGACATTTAATTAAAGCTTCCCAGAGCAATAAAATACATATATAGTACATTCATTAATTACCTTAAAATATTTGTAGTCTTAATGTAGGGTGAGAGGTGAGTTTTATTTGTAGGAAGTCAGGTTTGAGATGTATGGTAGCCAGCTTGGTGAGCCCACCCCACCCATATATAATATACTACAACATTTAATTAAAGCACCCCAGAGTGATAAAATACACATAAAATACAGTCCATTCATTAATTACCTTAAAATATTTGCAGTCTTAATGCAGGGTGAGAGGTGAGTTTTATTTGTAGGAAGTCTGGTTTGGCAAGTATGGGTAGTCCGCAGGGGCAGCCCCTCTCCACCCCACCCACACATAATGTAAACAAACCAGGCGAACACGTCTGGTTATCGTCACTTCACACTGTGTACAAGTTGTCTCCAAGTTGGTACAGTATAATCAATAAAGAGAAACACTCCCATTCTCATGTAACACCATTTTTAGAAGAAATGATGCCCTGGGTGAAGGCATATGCAAGGAATAATTTTCTAGTTACCCCCAGTAATATTATAGTGTACACATTTTCTCTGATGTTGGACTACAAGTTCCCTGGCTACCACAAGTCCTACAAGTCGCCTGGCTACCACATCTCATGTTTATGTTAATTTATTCTACTGTGGGGTGTATTTAGATGGATTATGTAAAATGTCTCTGTTAATGTTTTATACAATATTTAATGCTCCTCAGAGTGATTATTATTGTGTTTTATTTTCATTATCATTATTAATATGGCATCTTCAAAACTAATAAGACACTCTTAGTGATTTTAACCCTTTCAGGGTTGGCAGGCCCTCTCCTAAACCTGTTCTCAGGGTCGGAAATTGTTCGAAAAAAAAATATTTTTCTTATGAAATGATAGAGAATCTTTTCCCGATCATAATGACACCAAAAGTATGAAATTTGATGGAAAAATTACGGAAATATGCTCTCACAAACTTAGCAGTCGCAACGATGTTGACACATCTGCGATTTCACCCAATCTGAGCCCTGGTTTTGGCCAATTCCAGTGTACTAGTCAACAAAAATCATAACTATTTCGCTAGAACTCCATTTTTTCTATCGAATGAGTACAAGAAGCCACCCATTTACCAATTTCAACTATCCAATAAAGTGGTCAGAATTTAGCAATTTTGCCAATTTCACACAAATTTCAAAAGATGCCAATTTCCGAATAGGGTCCAGAATAAACAAAAAAGACATTCCTGGCACTAAAATAATATTTCCTCTGTTCATTAGTCACATCCCCATGCCCCTCTTATTCTCACAAAAAGATAGAAGATTTACTGTTATGCAGACTACTGCATTAGTGTAGAAATGGTATAAATACAGTGGACCCCTTATGATGGCATCGTGTTACGTTAAATCTGGCATACAATACATTTTAACGCAAAAATTTTGCCTCGTCTCACGCTAAAAAACTCGCCTTACGTGATTTGTCCAGGACATGTCCCAAGCGTGGCCTCAGCGCCAGTGTTTACAAGCAAGCCAGTGCGGTCGCATCTACGCATACATTCAGTACATTTCACATTATCCCAGTGTTTTTAGTGCTTGTAACTGCAAAATAAGTCACCAAGAAAGCTTCTAGTGCCATCCCTGTGGTAAAAAGGGTGAGAATTAGTATGGAATTGAAAAAAGAGATTAAGGAAATGTGTGCAAAGTGGGTTGAACTGCAAACCTTTATGAATGAAAATCACCCTCACATAGCTATTGCAAGTCGTGCTGGTGACTATTACAATGACAATGTTGTTAACCACTTTAGACAAATCATAAAGGAACGAGAGGTACAGAGCTCTATGGACAGATATGCTGTGCGACAGAGGTCCAGTGACTCTCAAGCTGGTCCTAGTGGCATTAAAATAAGAAGGGAAGTAACCCCTTCCATTAGGAAGGGGAATCCCCTTCCTAATGGAAGGGGATTCCCCTTCTAAACAATAGCAACTTCTACACTCTCCCCTCCTCCCATCCCATCAATCATCACCAGATCTTCAATAAAGGTAAGTGTCATGTATTCTCTTCTTAGTAGAGTATTAACTGTGCATGTCTTCTTCAGTTTGTGTATTAAAATTAATATTTCATGTGGTAAAAAAAAATTTTTTCATACTTTCGGGTGTCTTGCACGGATTAATTTGATTTCCATTATTCCTTATGGGGAAAATTAATTCGTCTTACGATAATTTCGGCATACGATGAGCTCTCAGAAACGGATTAATATCATAAGGCAGGGGGTCCACTGTAATATCAGTGCACTTGTCAAAGAATATTAGACTCACCAGTTGGCGTGTATTGGACGCGTAGCATGATTTGTTTACTTTTGAACTTTGGTAAAAATCAAACATTTCTGCTACTCTGAGCTCAATTTCAAGGTACTTGTCTTTGTAAAACCAGTCAAAATCATCTCAATTTCTGTAATACATGTATGTCTTCCATTCTATAAAATGAGACCAGGAAAACTAGAATACAACAATAAATACCATACAAAAATACAGTGCAAAGTCGCTGTTTTAATCCAAAAACACGGTCAAAGTTTATTTTTCTCATTACACACTGTGTGCTGCAGGATTTTTTTTATACTGCGCACCCTGACCACATAGACCCATTCTTTCATATGTAGGCCTACCAGCTTTCTCTCACTGGATTTGAGGGCGCTAGAATTTAGGCGTACTAGTATGTCAAAAACCCTGGTGCGTAAGCCGTACTAGTACGTCCAAAACCCTCAAAGGGTTAAGGAACCTCTCTTGAGGGGAAGTTTGCATCCTGAAATTTCCTTCGTATTCAGAAGCAAAAAAACTACCAAATGCCAGTTCGTATCCTGAAAAATTCGCATGGTGGGGCGTTTGTATGCCGAGGTTCCACTGTACTGAAATATCATAAACCATGACCAATCATTCCTGGTTATATTATACAGTGGAACCTCAGTTTTCATGATTAATCAGTTCGAAAAAGTCTGACAAAAACCCAAATCATATGAAAACTGAAGCAATATTTCCCATAAGAAATATTGTAAATCCAATTAATCCGTTCCAGACACCCAAAAATATTAACAAAAAAATACATTTTATAGAGAATAACTATAGTTTTTCGTACAAACTAGGGAATATAAAAACCGAAGTTCCAATGTATTACATTATCCAATAAATAGGGTAAATCTTCATTTTTTTGTGATGATGAATTCAAAATCAAATGCAAGTGCAATATATGAGAGGCCTGTTGTTTTAGTGCCTGTAAATCTAGTGTTTATTTTTAACTACAGGTCTCCCTCAACATTCACGTTTTCAACTTTCACGGGCTTCACACATTCGCGAATTCCCATCCGCCAAATTCCCAGCCACCAATTTCCCAGCCGCCAAATCATATTTAAGTTTCCCGCCACCTGCGAGTCCCTACTACCCTCCCTCCAACCCCCGCAACTGGCAGCCAGCCCTTCCGCCACTCAGTGTGGTGAGTGTTTTGTTTGTTCATTATTTACTATTAAACTACAGTACAGGAAGGCCCCGCTTTACGGCGTTTCACTTTACGGCGTTCCGCTAATACGGACATTTCAAATTATGACCAAAACTCGCTATATGGCTCCCCCCACCTGACTTTCTAATACGGTCACCGTGCCCCACCCTGTTTGTTAACATTCTCCATGAGCTCAGTAAGCACTAAGTCTCTCCATTTTGTCTGGAAACTCCAAAATTTCAAATGTTTTTAAAAGTTATTTCATATTTTATATATACTCTGATAATTATACTTATGTATACC